GGTTAGCCATGTAATATCATTCATTTTTAAAGAGCCGAGCCGATCTCTTCCACTACAAGATCTATAAACAATTTTTTTTCAAAGTTTTATTGATAAACATATAGCAATGAGACAGTTTCAAATCAAATCGAAAGTACAGTTTCAACAAATAATACACTGCATACATGCTTCTCAGTGGTTAATTGCTGTACAAGAAAAACTATGATCTTTTAAAATGTGTTTTGCACATTTGTCTATGTGCATTGAAAAAGATACATAATCTTTGAGGACAATTTTATTTGCTACATAGTGTTCTATTGTTTAGAGGTACCATATTTTATTTAACCATTCCTTTGATGACTATTTGGGTTCTTTATGGTTTTTCTTCTTGTGGGTAGTGGTGTGTTGATTATGGTATACTCATTTATCCTCTTAGAGATATACCTGAGGATCAGGGCCAGAGAGATAGGGGCACAGTACCTTCCTGGTAAGTGCAAGGTCCTAAGTTCAGTTCCTGGTACCAACAACAACAAAAGGTGAAAACAAACAAACAAAACAAAACTGCCAGGCCAGTGATTACACATTTTAAATGTTGATAAACATAACCTATCTGTTTAACTATAAATATTACCCGCAGTCAAAGTACAGGATCATTGTCTTTTTTATCTCATTGCTCACACACTGCATTTTGTTAATTTTTAAAATTGCCTATCCAGTCAGTGGTGAAAAAAGAAAGTGTCTTTTTTTTTTTTTTTTTTTTTTTTTTTTTGGCAGAAAAGGGGATTGAACTCAGGCCCTTGCACTTGCCAGGGAAGCGCTTATGCCACTGAGCCATCTCCCTGGCCCCAAGAAAGTGTCTTTTTAAGATAGCTGTTTTTTTAATTAAGCCATTTATATGTTTTCAAGCCATTTATGCTTGATATTCTATTAACATGAACAATTTGCTTATAGAAAGTATATCTGTGGGGGCTGGTGAGATAATTCAACACTCTAAAGCGCCTGCTTAGGCACGCTTAGGCAAGCACAGGGACTGAGGTTTGATCCCTGACACCACATGCCGTGCTAGCCCTGCCTCCATGGTGGGCTGAGCTGGCCAGACTCTGGGTTTGGTGGCATACACCTATAATCCCAGTGCTGGTGAGGCTGAAAGCAGGAGTATCGCCCCAAGTCTGAACTGCATAGTGAGACCCTGCAACAACCAAACACATTAAAAAAAAAAGAAAAGAAAAGAAAGTATACCTGTGGTTATTGTATATAAATGAGACACCCTTGAACTTTAAAGTGAATGCAAACATTAAAATATATTGAATTCCTTATTTTTAGGTCTTTTATCTTGATTAATTCATTAAACATTTTAAAAAATTTGTCAACAGTTATAATTGTTTTGAGTACATAGTTTTCCTCTGTAAAGGGCAAAACTTATGTTTTTGATTTTTTTAAAATTTTCAACATTAAAGTTTAAAAATTTTTTTTTTCATTTCATGTTATTTTTTTATTGAGAAATATGAATGAGACAGTTTCACATCTGATTAATAGGACAGCTTTGATAATCAATACATTGTATATTGTTATGTTCTTAGTGGTTATTCATAGAATACTTACGTTTTTTATTCACTTAAACTTTAAAAAATTTTTTATCTTTTAAACATGGATACGAACTCCTAAAGAGGTGTGGTTTTCATATATATTATCAAGTTATATGAACTACATGAATATACATTCATGTGTGCATCTTATGTTGAATTGCATATGATGGTTTTTTTCATAATTTTATTGAGAAACAAATAGTAATGAGACAGTTTCAAACCAAATTGGTAGGACAGTTTCAATAGTTAACACGTTGCATACATTCTTCCTAGTGGTTAATTGCTATATAAGATGCAGACTTGATATCCTATTTACAAACACCATTAAAACAAATCCCTCTATTCATTAAGAGACTGTAACTATATATCTATCCTAAACACTTTGAATACACAGATGCAAAATAGATATTCATCTGTATCCTCTTTTTTTGTTAAGTTCTATCATTTCAATATTATAGGTATGTAAACTCAGCAAAATATTCTAAAAGAGTTCAGTAGTCCATAATAGTACTGGGTCTTCTGCTTCACTGGCAGTGTCAGAAATTGTTGAGCTGAGTCCCCTACAGCTCAACATAACAGCATGGCTTTACTTCTTATACTTCATTTTTATACTTTTTTTGCTGGATGGTTAACACCAAGGTAAAGCAGGACCTATGCAACAAGAGTTGTAGCTTTTGGGTCTGATAAGGTCAGTGAAGTCCCACTCAGGATTTATCCCGAGATCCTGTACCTCAGATTGTAGAACCTTTGTCAGTGTCAGCCATGTGGATGAGTCATGGCCATTGCTTCGCCAGTGTGCTCTCTGTGAAAGCCTGAGAGAATGTTTTCTCTCCATGTGACTCTCCTTAGGCACACTCTAAATTATCGATCACTTTCTCTTTGGCTCCATAATCTCCTTGATCAGAAAATATGGGACACTACTGAGTTACATGACGTTACAGTACAAGTTCTCATGTGTACTGAGTCTTAATTGACCTTGGAAGGCTAGGGCCAAAATGTTGGCTTTCCTTGCGGCCCTTGTTTTTCTCTTAATTTTGGTCTGCAAATGTAGGTTGTTAACCATCCAGAAGACAAGCTTATTGTTATTACCATACAACTTAGGCTGTTAAGCTGAACCTTACTATCTGTCTGAATATCAAACATCTTAGGTATAACGGGGAACAGGTATTTTTCGTCAAGTATTGATATGTTGAACTTTAAGTCCCCACAGAATATGATGAAAAAACATTTAAAAATTAAAATATATTTTAAAAAATAGGCATAAAGAATTATATACTTCTTATGTTTACACATAAGTCCAAAAATCTAACCATATA